ACCCACCCTGCCCAACAGCTAGCGCATTGCCTGGTTTAGCATCACACCCTTACTACAGCGATGCCTTCAATCTATCTTGCCTTGCACGCCCGCACTTTGTAATCCACCCCATTTCACCGACGCTTTTGCAAGGTTGCAAATGCCCACTATTTTGCTTCTCATATCCTGCAGCAACACGCCGGACGCTCTGTGACTCGCGCCACGGTTTCTTTTCTTCTTTCAACCTCGGCGCTGTTGGGTCTGTCTTTTTACCTTCAACCCGCATCCTCNCTTTTCTTCTTTCAACCTCGGCGCTGTTGGGTCTGTCTTTTTACCTTCAACCCGCATCCTCACCGCCCGCCTTCGTCAGTCTCCCCCGCCTCGACATGCGCATTCTTGCCATCTGCGACCCGAGTCTCGGTCAGGTCTTCAAACTCAAAGTGAATACAAGCTGAGCAAGCAGCACACATTGTCAGTGTCTCGTTTCCGACGGACTCGCATCTGGAAAAAAAAACTGCCGTACCGGCCACCCCGTTCGATTACCCAAACTTCTAGCGCCGCCTTAGTAAAAAAAGAGATAGGATATCCTGGGGAGGGACTTTGGAGGGGAAGAGAGAAAAAAAAACCGATCCCTTCTTCAGCAATTGCAGCGCGGGCAGTCCCATCGGTGCCACTACCGAATGATGGGTGGAGCTGCCTGCGCGCAAGTCAAGATAACGTCGCGATAGCAGTGTACCAGCTCTTTGTGAGCCTCACCGATGTCTCTTTTTCCCTCCAACCTCTCCAACACGCTGCAAATCGTCACCTCTCACAAACCGCCCACTTCCCTCACGCTGACCAAAGCTTTCAACCCGATAGACGTCGCACAATCCTCCTTACCAGTACTCTGATTGGACACCTTCCTCATCCCTGCCTCACCGAGGACCTCGACCGGGCCGGCCGCCGCCCGGAAAATAATTCTAAACTCAATCCCGTCCCTTCTCCCAACCCGCCCTCGTCGACGTCCCCTCCGTAGCCGCCGCCGCCGAGTCCGCCCGCGCGCGCGCACGCCCAAAGCACACCATGCCCGCCCACTCGCCGCCTTCGCCGGTCATGAAGCCGACGAAGCGTCCGCGCCAGGGCTCCTACGACGATGCTTCCCCGACCTCGGGCGGGAACGACCAGAGCCCGTCCGGCGACAACCAACACGACGCTATCGCCGGCGCCGGCGCAGCCTTGGCCGACAAGGCGGGCGGGAAGCCTGGCCAGAGCAGCAACTTTCGCAACGTGAGCGCTTGCAACCGTTGTCGTCTGCGCAAGAACAGGTGCGACCAGAAGCTGCCCAGCTGTGCGAGCTGCGCAAAGGCTGGTGTCGCCTGTGTGGGCTACGATCCAATCACCAAGAAGGAGATTCCCAGAAGGTATGGCGCGAGCAACTGGGCTTACTACTGCCTCTTCACGTAGAAATTACTGTACACCCTGGTGGTATCGTTGACATTGAATGGCTGCTGACTTCGTCCTTGAAGCTATGTGTTCTATCTAGAAACCCGCGTGGAGCAGCTGGAAGCGCTGCTCGCCAACAACAACATCCTCTTCCCACCCGCCGAGAACCTCGAGCTCTGCTCACGCCCCGGAACCGAACCTCCGAGATTGACCACAAACCCCGGCAACTCGGCGCGTTCAGAAAGCATCGACGGCAACGGCCCGGCGAAGAACAGCAGCGTCCACCGCCCTGACCTTGAGAAGGCCAAGAAGGCCGAGGGCGGGGCGCAGACGGGCATGCTCGACATCGTCGCTCCGTCGAAGCCGCGTTCTTTGGCGTCCGCCTCGGGCGTGTCATTCAACCGCGTCGTCTTCGCCGCTGTGCAATACTCCGTATCGGATCAGAATGGTTCAGACCGCGCGGGCAAAGGCCTCCCGATCGGCAGCGGGACGTCGATGCGCGACTCCTTCTTTGGCCTCCACACTAAACCCACGATCCGCCCGGCAAATTTCCCAGACCGTGATGTCGGCATGAGGCTTGTGACGCTCTATTTTGAGCACGCCAACCCCCAAATACCCATCCTCCATCGCGGGGAGTTTATGCAAATGTTCGACCAGGCGTACGCCAATCCGAGCGGGCCGAAAGGGCCGCGGGAACTGTACATGTTGAACATGGTGTTTGCCATTGGCTGCGGCGTCATCGTGGGCGAGCCTGTGAAATCAGACGGTTCAGGTGCTGGGCCCCGTAATCCGCCAGACGCAAATAAGTTTGGCCAGGCTCAGCCTGAGGAATATCACGCGAGTGCCATCGTACATCTTGAGGCTTGTCTTGGCAATAGTGGCGGCGGGTTGGAGGTTCTGCAAGCGGTCCTTTTGCTGGCAAACTTTGCGCTCCTCCGACCCGTCCCGCCGGGTCTTTGGTGAGTCTTGTCCCGTGAATCATGCGATCTTTGTAACGTGTACGCTGACCGTCCTTGCAGGTACATAATTGGCGTTGCTGTTAGGCTGGCCGTAGACCTAGGCTTGCATTATGAGGACGGTAGTGACGTAGCAAAAGCCATGATGGATCCGTTGGGAAAGATTAAAGAGGAAAATGGCGAGATGAATGAGTCGGGTGAGACGCGGTCCCGCGAAAAGGGAAGACGGCTGTTCATCCGTGACATGAGGCGGCGGCTTTGGTGGTGCACATATTCCCTCGACCGCCTGGTCAGCACGTGCGTAGGTCGACCGTTTGGCATTAGCGACCAGGTCATCACCACCGAGTTCCCCTCGCTGCTGGACGATCAGTATATCACCCCCACCGGGTTCTTGGAGATGCCCCCAGACTCGGCCGAGCCTAGCTACAAGCATGTGGCATACCATTATTTCAAGCTGCGTCTATTGCAGTCCGAGATATTGCAGGTCCTGCAGTACAACCAGACGCAGGTCGTGCGAGCTTCGGGCCAAAACATTACGAACTCGGACATGCACACCCACCTGCCGTCCCCTTTCCTCGTCAAGTTCGAATCCTTCCGCTCCTGGCGCATCGACATTGACCGGCGGCTGTACCAGTGGAAGAACTCGGCGCCGACAAGGGAGGAAACGGGCGTGGCCTTCTCCACGGAGTTCCTGGAGCTCAACTACTGGCAGGCGATCATCATGCTGTACCGCCAGAGCCTGAGTGTTCCTGCCATGTTCGAGGGCGAGTACAATACGTCCAACGAGGTGAACAGCCCGACGGCGTTCCAGGCAGAGCTGCGCGAGGACGAGGACAGGATCTATCTCAAGGTCGCCGAGGCCGGGCAGAAGATCCTGCGCATCTACCGACAGCTGCATCTCAGCGGACTCGTCAGCTACACGTACCTCTCTACTCACCACCTTTTCATGGCCGGCATCTCATACCTTTACGCGATCTGGCACTCGCCAATCGTCAGAAGCCGGCTGGTAAGTCGCCCCTCCTTGTTGAACCCAACTCTGATAAGCACTGACATGGCCCCTCCAGACAATGGACGAAGTAGACTTCACCATCCTCGCCGCAAAGTCCGTCTTCACCGACTTGATCGACAAGTGTCCTCCCGCAGAGACCTGCCGCGACGCCTTTGACCGCACGGCCAAGGCCACCATCAAGATGGCCAACTCCACCGGCGGCTTCGGCTCAGTGCCCCCGCGCAAGACGCGCGAGAACAGGTTCGAGTGGAGCTCCGCCAGCGGCGACGGCGCCTCAACGTCGACAGCGAGCGCCGCCCCGGGCCGCCGCCGCCAGCAGCCGCCACAGCAGTTCCAGCAAGGCAGCTTCCAGACCGACCGCGCCCTCTCCGACACGCTCTCCTCCCCGAGCCTGTCCGTCGCCGGCGACCTGCCCCCGCGCAACTCCCCACGGGCCACCGACTTCAACATGATGGGCCAGGGCAGCCCGTCGGAGATCGATCCCTCCTTCGTCGCCTCGCCACCCGTGCCGCGTCGCATGGCAGCTCAAAGATCAAGCAGCGGCGGCTCCTTCATGAATCAGAAACAACAGCAACAGCAGGGGGGTTCCTACAACAACAACAACATGGCTGGCGAGTACCCCGACATCCAGACCATGGACTTCTTCCAGAGCCTCCAGGGCAACCCGAACGGCGAGGTCGGCGCCGGCGGCGACGGCACGACCCCGAACCTCGATCTCGGCTTCGGTATCAACTGGGACAACATGCACCACGACTTCAGCGACGGGCAGCAGATGAACATATTCGATGGCTTCTTCTTTGGAGGACAGCAGCAGCAACAGCCGCAACAGCAGCCGCAAGATCAACAAGGCGCCAACAGTGCTAATGCGAACGGTGGTGGCATGTAAGGGCCCGTCGAATCTACCCTAACCCCGGGTTCCCCCTTGTACGCCGTACACAGGTTACGGTATTTGACAAACCTACCCAATTTTGTGAGGGCGTATATACGCATGATATTATTACACGATGAAGCCATGACAAAAAAGTTAGAACAGAACACGTTGGGGGATGAAAAGAAGACTAGTCAGTGCGTCTCAACCGACGCACTCTGCATATAGCTCAAAAGACGGCGGGAGGAGGAGGGCAACGCATGCGGTATATACCAAAAGGAGGAAGGCTTGCTTGTGTGAATGTGTGGTTTAGACTTTTCTTTTGGTCTGCCAGCCCTCTTGTGGCTGTTTGTGTTGGTATACCCAAAAAAGCGCGCGAAAAAAAGAGCACGAGACAAAGCTGGGCGATGAGCCGGAAGCAGGTTTGAATTTGAAGTGGTTTGATCATAAGACCGCCTAATTTTCCTGTGTCTTCGCAGCTACAGTTCCTCGTGTATTCACTGCCCAGCGTTTCGAATATTACTCGATACAACGACGATAATGTCAATGACGATGACACAGGACGATAGCGGAGGTAAAAAGCTGGGATTGATTGCCATAACATGATGTCTCTGGAATGACTCCTCCGACCACTTCGTCCTGCTCAGAAAACTGCCGTCCTGCTGACAATACAAGCTTTGCATAGTGCCGATCAAAAATTAATTACACGCGTTTCTCTGCGACCGAGCGCCAAGACCCTTGCTGTGCACAACCAACCACCCTTTGCCTACAACGTCAGGTCCATCCACGCCACTTCTTCCTCAGTGTAATAGTCGCTATTGTTCGTCCCGTCGCCGTTGCAGATGTTCTTGTAGAGCAAATACCAAGGCCACCCAATAAAGAGGATGACGTACATGGTACCATAGACGACCACGAAAAGTAGGAGACCAATCTGCTTCCTCACAAAGTTTCCCACGGGCGTAGTTTGAAGCCAATCGGCAACGCGGTGGCCCACGGGGCGTAGGGGATTGAACACGTGTTCGGCAAAGGGGCGGAGGAGCTCGAAAAGGCGGCGCCCCAAGGAGCGGAGACGCTCGAAAAGGCGGCGCAACCTGGAGCAAAAGATCTCGCACTAGTCGGCCTTGTTCACCTGGGCGCCATTTTGCGTCGTGGCCTGCCAGTCAAAGTACCGGGTGACGGGGTACCCAATCAGGGCGCCGGCAGCACACAGGATCGTGGACAAGAGAGTCCAGACATGCCAGGCCCAGTATCCGAAGAAGGGGACAAGGAACCTAAGCCACTCGCCGACCTGGTAGTGGTCCTCCTGGTGGATGATGAAGTGGCGCTGGCGGGCGCCGACGGCAGAAGCGTCGGTTTGGTTGCGAGGCAGAGGCCGGTTTTGATCATCGACGTTGCGTGTCTCGAGACGGAGGACGACGACGAAGTCGACAGGGGCGGAGTAGAAAGGGACGAACCATAGCCGGAAGTCTTGGCTCATCTTAACGTATAGAAGATTTGCTCTTTGATCTAGGACTGCTCAGGGTGTGTGTGTGTGAGTGTCTGTTGGCGATATATCGTGACGAGGATGTGAACGTACCAGCCGACTCGATATTCATTGCAATGTTGGGACTCAGAATGCGATACCATCGGTAAATCATGAGGACGAGCCACCGCGAGTTGATGGTGAAGAGGAAGGGAATGTCGACGTTGCCAAAGCTTGGCACGTGACAGAAGGGGTGGGTGAAGGCGGCATCCTCGGTGAAGTGGTTGAAGAGGGCGTCATACTGCTCCTTGGGCGAGCCTTGGACCAAGTCGCGAATGACCGTCTTGATTTCCTTCACTGGGCATCGTCAGAACGGAACTCTTTGCACGAGTGTTTGGGTTGAGGCTTTGCGAGTCTGCGAGGGTGATGAAGATGGTATGGACATATTGCGCAATCTTGGCTAGATCTACAGCTGGGGTTGCGCCGTGTCGTACAGGATAGACCAGGGGTATGGAGGGAGATCGTGGCACATGGCTACATACCTGGATGCTCCATTGCGCACTGAGGCTGCGATCTCGCAACTGCTATACTTCTTCTTATGTGTATTCGGAGTCGTGACCGCGACAATATCTTTGACGATTCTAAGGGCAATGGATGTCCAAGGATGTCGTTGCGAGTGTGATGACGGGAAGAAAATAAGAAGGGGAAGTGGGAGAAGCGTGGAGGAAAGTCAAATGTTAAAAAGAAGACGCTCACAACGAGACGGTGGGTAAGGTAGGCAGGTAGGTAATGTGGGAGCTATGATGTCTCAGAGAAAGGAGCTCTCCTCAAGTCTCAGAAGGTACGTCTGATTGGGCGTGCAAGCCGAGAGAAGGGACGGAATGATGGTTAGCTAGCATCGTCCACTAACTCGCCAGCACTAATGCCTGATTTGCTGTCTGTTCCCCCTTTCATGAACAATCCATTCAATTGGTGACTTGTAGCGAAGCAGGCACGCAGGTTGGGTTCCTGCGCGCTGCTACCCCCCCGGCGAGCCGAAGCTCGCAGGTGATGTCATTCTGAAACTATTAGCAGCATGGCGCCCAGTCCGGGGAAAGCATGTGAAATGTGGGTGTCGCACCTGTCATTGGCCAATGCTTTCCTCCCCAGTTCCCACACCTCCTTGAGGTGGTCAGAGATGTCAAAACTGACGAGGAAAGTCTACCCTTTTTCTCCCTTCCCCTTCCATGCCATCAGGGTTCCATGGGCGCGAAAGCGACGAAGAGGCGTAGAAAGAAGGTGCGCCACCCGGGATCTCGATGATCTTGTGATATTTTGGCTCAATGTGCCTGGCGCGGCTTGTGCACCATGCAGATGCCGTGCATGAGATGTCAAGCCGCGCCGAGGCTTAGCTTGGGCGCACCCTCATCTTGGTAGGTGCGCTTTCAGTTCCTCCAGGAGGAAAGAAAACAGTTATTCAGACGAAAGTGCTCCGGAGAAAACATATGCAACCATTATTCAGTGTAAATCAATAAGCATCCGCGTGCATATCTGCCTGGCAGACTAGCAAACCCTTTTCAGCCACGGAATAACACCCAGAACCCCTAACGCCTCACCAGCTGACACGCTCAACAAGCCCAACAGAATCACCAAGAGATCACCGAACGAACATGAAGCAAAAAAAGAGCCCGAACCTCCGACAGGCAACCTCTTCGCTCTTCGGGGTGGTGTCGCGGCTCCGCTTCAGGCCGCTTCAAGCGTCGTCACGCGCCGGACGACACCCGCCGTCGATCGTGGAGGGTTGAAGATTCTGAAATTCTTCCGTATTCGGGTAATGCTGAACATCAACAACTCTTCCGGGGTGAGGAATGCGGGCATCTTCTTTTCGTATCGAAACCGAACACGCCCAGGTCCATCCCGCATCCGAGGAACGGCGCCACTGTCAATCTTCCGTCTGATCTCTAGACGAGAGAAGGGGTCCCTTTCCCCAGAGAATTCCCCGGCCCGTTTGACGTATAATCGCATGACCGCTGCACTCACATGCCAAACGGACGTCACTCACTCAAACATTCGTACACTTTGTCGTCCCAGTACACGCGTCGCAGTCGAAAACATCTGTCCATCACGAAGCAGGGTGAATCCATTACAAGATCATATGCGCAACATCTCCCCCATGACTCGAAAGGCCCAGCAACTCAACAACCCAACCCAGGTATATCCTCTCTGCCCTAGTAGTCGCGACTACTACGTCTCCGGCTCTCGTGTCGGCTACTGTGCCTGTGAGAACTGCTGTGCCTCCTCCTCCGCCTCCTCTCAGGCTCATGCTCCTCGATTACGACAACCTCCTCCTCCTCATCTGTCACGATCCTGGGAGGCGGCGGTCCCCGGCTCGTTCTACGCTCCACCATCGGCGGATCCGCGTCAACAATGATCGGTCCGCCTCTAGTACGGCTTACGCTGTCCCTCTCTCGGACCCTCACCTCCTCCGTCGCGATTATTCTTGGTCCGCGAGCCGGACTGCGGTGTTTGCGGTGATGTCGGCTCCGAGACCGAACTGAAAGAACAGATGTCGCGGTGGGTGTGTACAACGACGATGATGAGGGTTCGACGGGAGCTCGGCCGAAGTTGATGCAGGTGTAGAACATCCAGAGGACGAGGAGGAACCCGACGACGGCGCCGAGCGTGACGCCAACCACGGCGCCGGGGCTGAGCGGTGACCAGCCGCCGTAGTGGGCCGGGACCACTACATCGTCGTCAAGGTTCTGCCGATTGATGAGAGGCATCTCGTGCGCTCAGTCACGGTCGGCGTAGTTGCGTTTGCGCTTGCGTCGAGTGACGTGGGCGATGTGTGCAGGGTTGTGTGCAGCGTGTCGCAAAGATTGCGCGGCTCGAAGACGCGAAAAGTCGGGCCGTAGGGCTGAGTCGCAAATGTCGCGAACCCAAACGTCGGACGGTACGGGTCAAGCGAGTGATGAGCGTGGGGAGTTCGAATGAAGGATCAGGCAGGCGAGGACAGTTCGTGCAGCACGATGCGCGCGCGTGACGGTGCCTCGACAGACCGTGGGTTCCAGCGTTGCAGTGTCGCAGAGGCTGAGACAAATGCGTTGCGGTTAGCGGGCGTCGACAACCGGTGAAGGCTCTGGGCGTAGGATTGAAGACGAAACGAACCACAGGTTCGAGAATGGATGAAGGGCGGCAAACGAGTGCTTTGGCGGCTCAGCCCAACGTGGGATGGGGACGCAACGCAATAAACGGGCAGGCTGAGCAAAATGAGTGTGTTGGATTAATACTGGCCGGGAGCAAGAGGGACGCCGACGGACGGGACGGGTGTGGGAGAGGGTGCCCAGACAAGAATGGTTGGACGCGTGAGACCTGAGAGGGCGGGCGTGGCACCTGATTGGGGCACCGCGCTACCACGAAGCCGTACTACAGCATGCACAGCATCTGCACTTGCGTTTGCCCTTCCCTTTTATTCCCAAAGCCAGTCGCACCTCACCACACGAACCGATACAGCGGCAAGACTGCTGCTGAGAGCGAAGAACGCACCACACTATGCCCAAGTGGGAGAGGCACAAACACACTGGGAGATCCCCGCTTGGTCCACTGCAGCCCGGGCCGATGCAAGGGTCGTCCTCTCTGCTGCTGCACGGCAACGAGCGACATTTTCCCCGCTTGCCTGTCTTCGGCAATCTTGATGAGAGGAACTGTTTCGTTTCGTCTTTTGACAGACAGCCTTTTCCTTGCGAGAGAAAAGATATTTGAGGGTTGGGGTTTCCTTTTGTAACGACATGCGCCGACGGTGGGCAGACGGACTGAAGCCAGCCATCCCGCCCAGGCGAGCCAGCTCATATGTAAGTAGACAACAATCGAACGTGAATTGTATTGCCAGCGTAGCTAAGCTATGTGCAGCCGGCCACCAAGCTCCAGTAAATATGTGCATAGAAGATCCTACTCTTCGCATCTCCACTCAGTTCCCAGTCCATCCAGAGCGATATGGTTAGCCGACTACGTCGGGCACGACATCCCAGGGTCTCCCGCATTCTAGGCGGGGACCGTGATGACGAAGAGCTCGTTCGATGCGTCGCTTACCATAAACAGCCTACCCTTGGTGTCCCATGCAAGACCGACAGGTCGGAAGCAGCCGTTGGGGCAGACAGACTGGTCGCTGTTCCACATCACTCTGACTTCCGCCTCCCGACTCGTCGAGGCGGCCGTGGGCTGTCCATCGGCTCCGAAGTCGACTCGGCTGAGTCGGTATCCATCAGGAGGCTGGCGGTTCCTGCGAGTACGTTAGCTTCAGTCAACTCCAAAGTCCCGTCCTGAAGGTGCTTACCAGCTACCGTGGAAGGAAATGTACGCAGCCTTTCCGCTGGGCTCGAACTTGATATCGAGGGGCGCCAGGTGGGCCTGGAAAGTGAGCCGAGGTGCCACAGGTGTTGACTGGCAGTATGCATCCGTCACGTCGCCTGAAGGTGTTCCCTGGGTGACCTGGCTTCCGACCTGGACATTAGGGATGGTGGTGGTGTCCCATACAGCGAAGCAGTTGGGATAGCCGTAGTTTGCTCCACTCAACTCGTTGGACGATGAGTTGAAGATGCCGTGGTAGTTCAACTCTTCTCCGGGGTTGTCGTTGTGTACATCCGTACCGCTCCGGTCCATGTTATCCAGCGAGTTCTCGACCGTCCACTGACATGTGTCGTTAGCGAATGCCCTGCCAAAGTTACTAGGACACACTCACGATTCCACCGTCAACATTGTCTGCGAGACCGACGCTGTTACGCAGGCCCCATCCCACGACCTCTCCATCGTTGTAAGCAACGGGATCGCCAGTGATCGCAGTGAGGTCAAAGGCGCGGACTTGGCTGCGACCAGAAGAGACCTCGGCCGTCGGAAGGTCGAGGTTGGGCGCGGAACCAACCGAAACCAGCAGAAAGTTGGGGCTGCTCTTGGGGATCAACAATGTTCGGCTCGAGTGGCCGGTCTGCGTTGGGATGTTGATGATGGGACGAGCCTGGCCAACTGTGCCGGCGGCCGCGTCATACGGGTAGGCGTATACTACTGTGGAAGACGATGCGTAGATCGTCTTGCCATCCGCGGACAGAGCGATGCCGTGGTTGAGCTGCGATTTCGTAAGTTTGATTCGTCTCCCGGGAAACTCCCCAACGTGAGGGTTGATTGACATACCTGTGTGTTGGGAATCAGCTGCTTCTGAGAAGCCGCGCAGACGTCCGTTCCGCCATTGTCGGTCAGTTTGACATATTGAACGCCAGCACCTTGCTCTAGAATGAGAAGGTTTCCCTCGGTGTCAAACTGAAGACTTCGCGGAGAATCAAGGCCGTTCAGGACAAGTCTTGCAGAGTAGCCTTCGGCCAAGGAGGGCTGCGAGACAGGAGTCAAGTCTGGGCACTGAGCAACCACTCCGGAGAGCAGCGCGGCCACGACAACGGTCACGGCAGATTTGACGGAGGCCATGTCGAACGTCGATCCCAAGACAGCGAGGATTGTCCTAGGCCTGGCTGTGCATGTATGTGCCTGGAAGAGTTGAAACACTGTGAGCGGATCTCGAGATGGGTGGGTGCGACTCGGGTTTTAAAAGAGAAAGCCTGGGGAGGTGATGTCAGGAGAGCGGGAGCTCCTATGCATACAGCAAACAGACGGAGCAGGACCTTGAGCTCAGGAGTAACCCCCGTCCTTGGATACCACCCAGGGGCAAGGGGTCGGGCCTGGCTTCAAATACATTTCAAGCAAGAACACTGCAATCACCCGCTTGCCTGACCTGCCCGACCCAACGTTAAAGGACCACCCGCACGCCCAGCACGAGGATCCCAGGATTCAAAGCCTCCCTTTCTCAACCTAGCACACCGGAAGCGGGGATGGTAATTCGCAGATCTTGGCCATCACATCGCCCTCCCTCACATTCTCTTCCGAGTCTATGGCGAAAATCAAAAGTGCCGAAGCGATGACAGACAGACAGACTGCGGATGTCTTGCCCTGGCACTCCCGCCTCGCCAGCCATCCTCCGATACACTGTCAACCGAGGGCCAAGTTGGCAAATTTAAAGCACAAAAGGGGAGTTACGCTGTCTAATGCTCGCCAAGCAAATCACGTCGTACGCGATGCAACAAACTGCCGGCGGGTGACTTCCCAGCACGGCAGCTGGCAAGACATTCGAGGCAGGGGTGATTTACTTGAGATGGAAAGTGAATGAGGCAAACGAGGAATGACGACGGTGGACGAGGAGCCACAGTTGCACTTTAAGAAAGAAACAGGGCCGTTTGGACGAATTGGGTGCTGGTGTGGCATGCTTGCGAACGGCCGATCAGCTTGGCACCATAGCCGTTGTAATAAGGTTGACTTCTCCCGCGGGAGCCGGCCGGGGGGACCCCATCCCACACAGCGTGCGGCCTATCTCGAATCAGGCACCTGGCCCCGTTAATCTGTAAATGGCAGCCCGTGACGGCCGGTTGATGGTTGATCGTTGATCTAAGGGGGGGAATGTCTTGGGGGGGTTGTCTGCGGTTCATCGTATGCGGGGAAAGGAACGGCTTCGTCCTCAAACTGAGACGTCTTGGGCAAAGTGTACTCGAATAGGCTGTTGAGCCTGTGTTTTCTTGGCCCATGGCGCCGGCTGCATTCCGCCGATTGGATGGAGATATTATCGAGAGGAATGCTTGGTGTGACTGATCAAGCGATTATCAATCATCTTTGGAGCTTCGTACGCCGGCTTGGCGAGATGCGAAGCAGGCAAGCAGGCAAGCGGGCAAGCGTCAAAAGGTCGAAAAGTCGGTTCGCTTGCTTTATCAGTGTGCCGTCCTCTCTTGGCGATGACATGCAACGGGGGTAAGTCCGATATGCCCGGGCTGGTCATCTCCGCCTCCTCGGCCCTCCCACCGCAACCACGGCGGCCGTTGATCGTCTGCGGACCCATCCGGAACTTGAATGACCCCGGGAGCGCGTAAGGCATTGCTGGAAAATGCACGACTCACAGGCTGGCTCCTTCTCCGTCGTCAGCTTTCCTACCAACATTTGCCAAATGAATGGGGTTCGGCGGGTTTCCCTAAAAACTCACCGGGACGGGACGGCCCCTGGCCAAGTGCTGGGGCCACTGAAACCCTCAACCCGTCCTTCCCTGTTCAACTCCCCGCTCAGGATCCTTTAGTGGACGAGGGTGTTCATCTCAACAAACATCCGAATTACACCTCGCCTCTATTCCCCTATGACAGCTTCACCCCAACATGCCACATCGCCCTCTAAGTCCAATCCGATAAATGTCCAAGGTAGCTCCCACAGGACCCCAACAGCTGGGTCGCCGAAACGTTCCTTTCGCCCGGTAACAACACAACGTCCGCTTCGGCGGTTGCCTGCTAGGCTCATCTCACACGCCGTCTGAATGACTCCCGAGGCTTGCATTGGATACTTCTCACGCACAAAGACTCCATCGTAAGCCGTCATTCGGCCTCTTATTGGGCCTGCGAGCTGTCGGGCAACCTAGACAACCAACCAACGCTGAAGAGCTGCAACGACATGCCTTAAGGACACCGTAAGCGCGGCGCAACTCCTGCCTGTCGCGAGCTGCAGTAAGGGACCAATGAATGTGATGCAACGCCAACCGCTTAGATGAGTCAAAGAGTCTCAGTCTCAGTAGGTAAAGACAGCCATTCGCTTCTTGAGGCACGTTCGTCATCGTCGCATGCGACAAACGCGGGTCACGGCGCCCAAATCCGACGTCGCACAGGCGTTGCGCTATTCTATGCAGTCAGCAGCCTAAAACCTTCAGTGCCGC